CACGTTGGTTTAAGGTTCCCTCATGCACGCTGATATTCCATTCTTCTTTCTCTCGCAACATAATTTCTTCGATCTGCTGCATTCGCCACTCGTAAGTTTTGACACCTTGCCCCGGCCTGTCTCTTGACAAGTCATAAAACTTACATGCAAAATCCAGTTTGTTCGGCTTTCTGCATTGCTCAAGAAAGTGTGCATGAATCGAGGCCCTCATCTCATCGGACGGAGGCTTTGCGCCATAAAGCTGTTGATATACGTCTGTCCATTCATTGTAGAAATGGTGCAGGTCAGCATCAGGCTTGGGCGGGTCTATCTTTACGTCAAAGAGGTCACGTGAACTGCGATGTTGTCCCAACTCCGACCATACCGAACACCAGTGACAAATCGCCCGCGCCATCTCGCGTCCAGTCATGGGCCTTCCTTCGGCCTGGGCGCTAAATTCCATGCGAGAAACCTGTTGAAGGAAATGAGTATGATGAGGAGGCTGGTATCGACTCCTTCGCATCTTGTTGAATTTCTCGATAAGATTCGTTGCGATCATTAGGTCGAGACGCTGGAATCGTCCGGCTTCCTTGAGTTGCTCATCCTCCACGGCCGGATCCATGGCCTCGGCAATCCAGTGCTGTGCAGCCTGGCTCTCGGGCGATGATCCAGCGATAGCGCGTATTGCGTGCATCTTTCACTCGCGAATGTTCGTAACATCGGGGATGTCCAACAAATCAATTTTCTGATTGTTACCGACCTGTCTCCACTGATCCAAGGGCGCGTTCTCGTCAATTACTATCGAGTCATGTGGTCCGCCGGGGCCATGGGGCCCCCTGCGTCCACCCCCGCCATCAGAGGGGTCTGACCCTCCTGGACTCCCCGGAGGCGATCTTCGCGGCCCTCTGCTGCGATCATCTTCGTGTGAAGATACAATCTCAGTGTTGGGAGCGTCGCTCTTGCCATCATCTTCTCCGCCCTGTCCTGCATTGCCGGACGACTTAGTCGCCGTCGTTCCCTTAGGACCAGCTCCGTAGGTTGTGCGGAGGTTGGCAAGGGTGTTGTTTTCATTAAGTTCAGTTAGCCTCATCCCAGCAGGGAGTCCACTATCAGCGGCACTCGGCTTAGCCGGACCTTCAAGGGCAGGTCCTGGGACAGAATAATGTTGTTGTAACAGCGGTCTCAAGGGGGTGTCTTGCGAAAGCAACGGAAATCCGAACGACTTCGATGCGAGTCCGACTTCGCGTTTTGTTGCAGTACACGGATTCGGGTCGGCGATGATAGCCTGTTCCTATCTCTCTGTGAACCGCGTTCGATGCAATCTCTTCTTCTCGCATATTAGCCGCTGACCTTTCACTCTTCCACAAGTCGCATGTAGAGCATCTCCTCGTACTCGCATCGATATGCTCGTTGCAAGCCGGGCTGCCGCATCCGACGCAGTCGTCTGTCTTCGGTCGACCGCAAACGACACAAGACTGGTCCACGGGAAGCGTGTTTTCATTCCAATCGGGAGGAGGGCGTATGGCACCTCCTACCAGCACGGTCGACGCTCCCGCATTTGCCGCGGTCGCCTGTTCGAACTGCACATGGGCAGGCGCGATGCTCGACGACTGAGCCGTCGAAAATGGATGTATGTTCGACCCGAACGGCTTAGCCGGCGGGTATTTATTGTCGCTCGACATTCTACGCTGAAGAGACGATCTGGCTTCCTCATGCGATTTAAGCTCTTCTATATAGAGATTGGCCTGGTTGTTTATCTTCGCAGCTGCAGCTTGGGCGTTGTCTGCTTTCAGCCTGGCGGCTTTGAGTTCTTCTTGTAACCCCTGCTTTTCTCATTCCGCCACGGCTGTCGCGATTTGTTATCCTTCTATTTTGGCCACCGCAACAGCAGCGGCAACCGTGTGAGCGTCCGCAAATTCTTCGTTCGCCATCATGACGGTCCTTCTCTCCGAAGTCAATAATTCTCTGTATGTGTCTTCTGATTCCCTGTCCACTTGCCATTTCACGGCCTCAGTCTGATTGTGCAGGTGTTCTATAAGCGCTTGTTCACGCTCTCTGGCGGCCATGGCTAGGGCGATCCGTTCAGCCTCAAACGTTTTCCTGGCTTCGATCACAGATTCAATTAACTCTTCCCTGTCCATCCGAGCTCTTTCTGCCAGATTCGCCTCAGTAGTCAGAAGCTCTCTCTGAGTGTTAGCCTCTGCCAGCCTGGCCTGATCTTGGATAGATTGCAAGAAGAGATACGTGCAGTTGTGTTCGTCCATTGGGCAGCACTCCGTGCATAGCCATTGTATATTGCACTTGTTGCAAACGTCCGAGCAATTCCTGCACGCTGGAATCCCACATGCGCCTTCGGGCTTGTTGGCCTTTCCTGGGCATCTGTTCTCCGCCTGAGGCGCGCAGCCAGGATTCGGATTCCAACATACCTCCATCATAGAGACTGTACTGTTGCTTCTAGAGGTAGACCTCGCCCCTGACCTCGGTATTTTGGGTCTTCCCCTGCTCGAAGCGTTCGATCTTGGGCGAGCAAAAGTACTTTCTGGTGGTTTGGGCGCATTTAGGAGCTCCTCATCCTTCTCGTCTCGTTTGATGAGCTGAGGATACATATATATATATATATATATATTCCGTTGTCCGACCATTTCTTCGTCCTCATCAACAGCCGGAATGGTGGGCTGCCACTCGCCTGAGGCGGTGGCGTTACGGAAGAAGCCGCCGTTTAATGGCGAAACGTTTAGCTCATAGTCCTCAGTCCGTTGCTTCTTGAGATTAGGCGCAGGCGTTCGCCCGGTGGACTCCCTCTCATGCTTCGTTTGAGTATCAGTCCTGTCCGCCTGGGGCGTCAGGATACTAGTGTCTTCATCGGATCCATCTGGAGACCAGCTTCTGTCACGAGCAGGGATGTCCTCATCCAACATCACGGACAACGCTCGGTTCAGGGAAATATCAATGTTGATACTATCAACAATTTCTTCCATGGAATATATTTCGTGATCTTTGTCCAATGGATGGTCGCTATCCTGGCCGAACTGTCCGTTACATGCTATAGGGGTTGGGGCCGTAATGTGCATACCCGCCCAATCTACGGGGATATTAGGATGCGCACTCGGATTCCCTTGGGCTTCTCCTGGCCGGCTGGCTTCGCCAGCGGCAATGGCGATAGTCTGTGGAGCATTATGAATGGGACTTATCGACTCCGTCGAGTTGGCACTTAACCTGGAAGAGAATGCGCCTCTTCTGGGCCTTGGCGCGACGCCTTCTCGCCCGTGAGGGTCAGGGGTTTGCTCGCGATCACCTATCGGAGCCCCTACTGTGGGCATGTCTACCGACATTTCGGTTCTCCCATCAGTATTTCTCCCCCTGGTGACCCGAACGGCGATTGTCGAAGGAGGGATTCGGTCTTGAACAGGACCGATTGTATCTGTTTCGTGTCCATCATGTTGTTCAACGCGCCAATCTGCGCTTCTCGAGATATTAGACACGATGTTAGTCTTATCATAGCTCTCCCGCCGCGACTGAATCGCGGGGCACGACTTGAAGATTCCCTTTTGTATATGGTGGCCCCGCGTCGACTGAGTCGCGCGTTTCGGCTGCTAACCAGTCTTTCCTCTGAGAATCGGGGTAAGATGACAAAAAGAAATAAGATCTCATGTTCACTACGCTTAGGGAGAGCGGAGGCGAGATGAGACATTGATAAGACAGATATCCGTTAAGCTAAACCACTCGATCAGGAATAAGAAAGGAGGAGGAAGGCCGAGGACGGACGACGACGGATCGCCCGCGCCCCCCAGCGCGTTCCTTTTCTCTCCTGCCAGCCGAGTTCGGCTGGTTTGAGCAGTAACACGGCTGCAGAAATGCAGCGTCAGTACACGCGGACAGTTCGATGCATGCAATCTAAGTTATCTTCTAATTGAGTATTAGGCGGGGAGGAGCATATTTACTCACAAGCCTCCCCCAGATCTGGGCGCTGCGAAAAAAAAAAAAAAAAAAAAAAAAGACACGACTGGAGGGTTTCCCAATTTTCTGCCAACGGGGGCCTTCCGAGGGCCCCAAGACTTTGGCTGTAGGTCAACACCGTCCCCGCCGTGCCTGGATTGCGGGGTCAGAAGCCGTTTCGTATTCGTCGTTTTCGTTGTCTTCGTCGTCTTCGCCGTTGTCTTCGTCGTCGTCGTCTTCGTCGTCGTCCTCGCCGACGCGGGGGGATCATTTTCCCACTATTGTCGGCCGTGCTGGATATTGTTGGGCGGTTATCTCTCCCAGTTGAGCATGCCTCCTGGGCTACTCTGCACGCGGGAGGAATTTCGAGCATTTTCGTAAAAAGCTTGCAGAAGAAGTCGACGCACATCCTATCGACTCCTCGAGTCGTCTTCGTCGTCGTCGTCGTCCTCGTCGTCTTCGTCGTCGTCCTTGTCGCCGCCGTCGTCGTCGTCTTCGTGGTCGTCTTCGCCGCCGCGGGGGTATTAGTTGCCCACTATTGTCGGCCGTGCTGGGTATTGTTGGGCGGTTATCTCTCCCAGTTGAGTATGCCTCCTGGGCTACTCTGCACGCGGGAGGAATTTCGAGCATTTTCGTAAAAGGCTTGCAGTAGAAGTCGACGCACATCCTATCGACTCCTCGAGTCGTCTTCGTCGTCGTCGTCGTCGTCGTCGTCGTCTTCGTCCTCGTCGTACTCGTGGTCGCCGCCGTCTTCGCCGCCGATGCATGTTCGCACGTGTGCAGCAGTTGCGGTGGCGGCCCGTAGGGGAGGAGGAGGGGGGGAGGAGGAGGAGGAGGAGGAGGAGGAGGAGGAGGAGGAGGAGGAGGAGGAGGAGGAGGAGGAGGCCGCCTGGCGTTGAACGTTTAGATTTTTGATCACTTCTCTTGGCCTCTCAAGCCTCCGCCGCCGAGAATAACTAATTCCCAAATATGGCTGGGGTCCCAATCCGTCAATGAGCCCGCGGAACAATGAATTTGTTTCCCATTATTGCCCGGGGGTTTATTAACGACCCTTCTCGGTTATGCGTACGCCTCGAAATCAGTGCGGGGGCCTTGTCCCTCTTTCAGCTGAGTGGAACTGCCAGCTTTATTCAACGGCAGGAGCGAACGATTGGGTGAAACCGTCAGATGGAAGAAGGCAAAGCCAGGCTGGGCACAGGCTACGCTACGCTACTCCCGATCTGCCACAAGGCTGCGCCAATCTAGAACTCGCGGCGGGGGGCAACAACTAGGCCCGCGCCTCCGGCAACCGGTCAACCACCCATCGGTCGGAAGAAGTAGGTAGAACCATGAAGTAGGAAGGCGTTGCAAATAAATTGGGTTTCCGCCAGCCTCCTGCACAGGAGGGAGGAGGGAACACCACTCGACTCTTGAAATAGATAGGCGGCTAAAGTCGGCTGGGCACTGGCAATCCAAACATAACTATGTTCAACGACCGATGCGTACTCTGAGTTTCTTTATAGGCGTCGGGGGGGCGTCACCCCCGCCGACAGCCCCACGTCGACCCCCGTCGCGGGCAGCCACCGCGCGCCACAGGCGCCCCGACCCCCGTCGCGGCGCGACGACGAGGCGGGGTTGACCCCCGTCGGGGAGGTACCCCTCCACGCTTATTAAGAAACCCAGAATATCGGCGCGCCACCCTTGCAGACGTGCTGCAGCGGATTTCTGCGTGGATTTCTGTCCATGCAAAGTCCCGAAACGACGAATGAAAAACGAAGTGAATTTCGCGTGGATTTTTGTTTAGTTTTCATCCCTGGCCACACAAAAATCCGCACGAACTCCACCTCTAAATTCGGAACGAAATTTTCTTCAGGATACTCTGGGCCGATCCTATCGTTCTCCGAACGAAATCCGCTCTGCGATGTGGGCGCCATGAAGACCCAGACCCCCGACGTCATGATTTTTTCATTATGTCGACCCCTGGAGGTCTCGACCCAATCCCCTGGACTGGTTCTTCATCCCGAGTCGTTTTTGCAACGACCCCGCGAGCCAGCAAGGGCCCCCGGAGGCCAAAAATAATAAAAACCTCCCGTCATGATTTTGTTCATTACCTGGAGGCCTCCCATATGGGGTCGGAGTAGATGGGGTCGGCGGATCGCGCCGCCTCGGCGATGCATCGGCGATGCGCCGGCAATGCACCGTCGACGCGGGCGATGCATCGGCAACGTCGACGTGAAGGAAATCGAGCTCCGCATCGGCGATGCGTCGGTGATGCATCGGCGATGCGGCGCGATCTTCCGATCCCGTCTGCTCCGACCGCATCCGGGAGGCCTAGACTACCCGAGAGGGGTCTGGGGAGCAGGGCTACTCGTCGTCCACGGGCTGCTGCCGGAGGTCCGCGGGCCAGCGGGCCCCCCGCCCCGCCCGGGCAGGGGAGGCAGGCCGCCGCCTCGCATGTCGGCCTCGGCGGCGCGCAGCGCCGCCCGCAGCCGGGCCTCCTGCTGGCGGCGCGCCACGCGGGCATGCGAACATTCGGTCGGGCCTGTCCCCCTACAGGCCGATTTTCGCAGAAAACTAAACATAGCCAACAACAACTCGGGCGGCATGCGCATGCTGCTTCTCATGTTGGACTGGGCGAAAACTTTCGACAGAGTGAAGCCAGACGTAATGTGTGCGGCTTTGCACAAGTTTGGGCTGCCTGCGGAGATGGTGAGCAAGATCGGGGCGATATACGAGAGCCGGTACTTCGTCATACACGACCACACGGGATCACCCTCAGAAAGACGTCAGCGCGCAGGGATCGCACAAGGGTGCCCGCTATCGCCCTACCTCTTCATCGCTGTGCAAAGCGTCGTCCTGCACGACGTGTTCGGCCGCGCTGATCTTCGTGATAAGCCGGCGTTCTTGGTCACCAGGGATTTTCTATCTGCTGACGACACCTTGTTGGCCTCACAGCACCAAGAGAACCTGCAACATATTCTCAACGCCGTCGTCGAGGAGGGCGCGAAGCACGGCTTAGAACTGAATTGGGATAAGACCGTTCAGATACAGATCTCGACAGGAATGAGTACCACGAAGCCAGATGGTGGTCCTATCAGCAAGGTGCGGGAAACTGTTTATTTAGGTGGGCTCATCACTTACGACGGAAAGGCGGCTTCAGAACTCTCACGGCGCATTGGAGAAGCGACTGGGGTTTTCGACAAACTTCGGAAGATGTGGTCCCATTCTTCCATAGGTCTGGCACGGAAGATGAAGATTTACGAGACGCGTGTGCTGAGCAAACTGTTGTACTCTCTCGACTCTGTCTGGCTACTACGCGCTGAGAGGGCCCGGCTGGATGCTTTCCATTGCAGGAGTTTGAGGCGCATCATGGGCATCCCGTGCTCTTATGCATCAAGGGTCAACAACGATGATGTCCTACACAGAGCAATAGCACAATCGCTCTCGAACATCCTGGCCTCGAGGCAGATCGCTCTGTACAACAAGATCGCGAACAACATCGCTGGTTCCCTGGTCAAGGAAGTCCTGTGCAACCCGGACGGGACCCCGCGAAGCTGGGCGACCGCTCGGCGGCGAGGCCGCCCCCAGCAGCAGTGGGCAACAGAAGTGTATAGAATGGTCTGATTTCCAACAGTTTTCATCGCATGCAGGCCCTCCCCCTCTTCCCCCTCCTCCTCTTCCTCCTCCTCCTCCTCCTCCTCCTCCTCCTCCTCCTCCTCCTCCTCCTCCTCCCCCTCCGCCTCCTCTCGGGCTGTTTAGTCCAATCCGCGCTGGCGCCGATTGTCTGTCGCAGCGAATCACGGCAGGAACCATGCGGGTCCTTGCCAGCCCACGCGTCCTTCAGGATGCATGGCCTTCTTGCTTGCTTGCTTGCTTGGTAGAAAAAATGCTAAAAAAAATCATCCCCGTATTATTTTTAGACGATGTTTGAATATTCCCCCTGTGAAGGGGAAGTCCCGACTCAATACTAATACTATACGTCCTCCTTGGAGGCGCGCGTCCGACCCGAACATACAGTACGCCCATCTTGCAGTACATTGTTTCCCGAGCGGTGCGGCCAACAAAAGCGCCCGCCACGACGCATATACCATAAGATTTCTCGGTGCGCGTCGCCCCTGGGGGGGCGACGCACATATAGTATAAGCATGTTGGGGAAACGCCGAGGGGAGGGGGAGGGGGCAAGCTAGGCGCGCTCGCGTCATATCTGAAATCCTACCCCTCCCTCCCATCCCTTACCATGGCGCAGATCCCCTCTCTACTCGCACAGTCGGATGTCGAGCAGGGCAATGATCTCGAAAGGATACGCGATGCATTGTAGAGCACGGCGTGGCATGGCGTAGAAGAGCACCGCAAAGCGTAGTATCAACCTAACATTGCATTGCATGCCGTGGCATGGCACTGGAAATGACGCCACCGCTGCAGCGGGAACAGGATTCGGAACGAGCGGAAGCGCGGAAATGAGGCCAGCGCTGCAGCGGGAGCGCGATCCGGAACGAGCTGAAGCGCGGAAATGAGGCCAGCGCTGCAGCGGGAACACGATTCGGAACGAGCGGAGGCCCGAAAATGAGGCCCGCGCCTCAGCGAGAGCAGCATTTTGAAAAAAATGCAAGCGAAAACCCAACTCCCGGGAATCCTGTGTGTAAAAAAGCAGGACGCGGTGGGGGGGCGAACACTCCCAGCACGTCATCAGGGGAAGAGGGAGAGTAGTATTCATATTGAGTAATTGTGAAGTCTTCGTAGAAGCACCCCTGCTTCTTCGCAGGCCCTGGCCTTACGTCTGTGGTGAAGGCTGGCGCCTTCCAAGAAGCAGGGGTGCTTCTAAGGAGCCTTCCCCCCTGCCCCCCTCTGCGCGTGGCCGATCCTGCTCGAGGCCGAGCACGCAGTTGAGGTTCCTGCGCGTGAGGAAGGGGTCCTCCACGTGCAGGCGACGGCCCGCGCCTGGGGCTCTTCTGCAGTGGAGGGCCAGTCCACCAGAAAACGTCCAGGGTGCCCCGGGTTTCTTGGGCTTCGATGGTTCTGCTATGGAGGGCGTGACGGGCCCACACGAAAAACCAGTGGACGCCCTGGGGTCTCGGGGTTGGGTTTCTTGTGGAAGGTCTCTTGTGGACTGGCCTCCACTGTGGAAAGAGGCGCCGCCAGGGGGGTCCAGCGCGGATCCGAGACATCCGCGCGGACCTCCGAGATTTTATATGTATGGCATCCTTCGTTCCCCCTTCCAGTGGAGACCAGTCCACAAAACACCTTCCACACGAAGCCCAACACTGAGACCACAGGGCATCCACTTACTTTTGGTATGGGCACGTCGAGCTCTCCATCGCAGAACCATCGAAACCCAAGAAACCCAGGGCACCCTGGAAGCAAGCAGGGTGTCGTGGCTGGCATGGGTTTCCACTGTATCCGCACACACCGGGATGGAGACGCCGCCCCCCCGGGACCTCGTGGAGCGCCGGATGTTGGGATATAGAGGCCTCCCAAGAGGAGTCCGAGTGGATGGGGTCGGATGAAGGCGCCGATGCATCGCGGATGCACCGGCGATGCATCGGCGATGAATCGATGATGCATCAACGACGACGGCGATGTATCGCCGCCGTCGGCCTGGTGAAAATCGGGCTCCACTTCGAACCGCAGCGCCGATGCACCAGCGATGCGGGCCGTTTCCGACATGATGTGCCCACACTCAGGGCACGGAGATGTCATCAGCGCCCACCGCCACTCCTAGAAAAAGAAAACGCTATAAACATACACTTTGGCGCTCTGGGCGGATTTCTTGGATCTGCGCCGGACCCCCCTCACTGGCGCGCGGAGCGCGCCAGGGACTGCGCCGGAGGCGCCGCTGGAGGGGCCCAGCGCGGATCCAAGAAATCCGCGCGGAGTGCCAAAAGTTCATGTTTACGGCGTTTTCTCCTTCTGCGAACCCCGAGATCTGCGGGGCCACGTCTCCAACGCGATGGCCGTGAGAAGCTCCCGGGCGCGGGCAATGGTCCGTGGCGTTCGGCAGCCGAGCGAACTCCGGGCAGCGGGCCCTGCGCCGCTGGCCGAGGCGCACCGAGACGACCTCGCTGCCCCACGCAAACTCCTGGGAGCAGAACGCGAAGAACTGCCGCAGCGCCTCTCGGGGGGAACGAAAGAGGGGGGATAGCGAAGGGTAGGGTAGAGAATCAGCTCACGCAGCTGACTCTCCCAGCGCCTCCCGGCGCCGGGAGGCGCCCATGTATCGAGGAAGGGGCCCGGCGGGGGGCCGAAACCAGCTGCATGCAGCAGATTTCGTACCCCCCCCTTTTTTCCCTATCCCCCCCTTTCGTTCGGCCCGAGCCTCGGGCAGGGATTGCCGGCACTCCCAGCGCGTCGCGGTGGGCACGGGCAAGAAGCCATCGAATAGCTGCGTGGAGAGCAGGGGCAGCCCGAAGTCGGGGTGGACCTGCAGGAAGTAGAACACACACCATCAGCGCCAGGGCGTAGGAGGACAGGTGCCCGCTCTGCGCCCCGCAGACGCCCGCGGCTTTGGACCAGAGTTTCACCAGCAGCGCGAGGCCCCGCGCCAACGGGCTCGCCTGTGCGTAGGCGCAGAGCAGCTGCGAGTTCCGCAGCGGCTCCGTGTTGTGGCAAGAAAGGTCCACGTCCGTGGCGCCGTCGAAGCGCAGGCTCAGGACAGGAATCCTGGCCCCGGAGACGAGCCTGACGACCTCGAACCTCGGGCTCTTTGACAGCAGCGGGAGCACACCTCCGTCCAGGACCTGCACCGCCGCGGCGGCATCGCCCTCGTCCTGGGCGTCCGACCGGTAGATAGTGACGTCGATGTCCGAGCCGCGGGTGAGGATACAAGAGGAAAAAACACCATACATATAAACTGTTGGCGCCCCGCGCGGGTTTCTTGGATCCGCGCTGGACCCCCTCACTGGCGCGCGGAGCAGGCCAGGGGCGGCGCCGGAGGCGCCGCTGGGGGGACCCTGTGCGGATCCCAGAAATCCGCGCGGAGCGCCCAACATTCATGTTTATGACCTTTTCTCTTCTTCGAGAGGAGCTGATTCCTAACGCTGCCGAAGGGAGCCAGGCGCCAGACCCGCCCCAGCGGCGCGAGGCAGCGCGCCAGCTCGCCGAGGCACTCCCAGAGGTGCTCGGCCTCCCGCGCAGTCGGCACGGCGCTCGCGAGGGCGAGCTCGAGTCGGTGACCCGTCAGGGCGGCAGAATCCAACGCCTCGTGCTGCTCGGTGTCCTAGAAGAAAAAACGGCATAAACATAAGCTGTACAACATAAACATAAACTTTACGACAGAAACATTACGTTTACGACATAACCCTGGCGCAGAGTCCAAGAAACAAATACATACACAGACACTGTTTGCGCTCTTGGATCTGCGCTGGGCCCCCCTCCTTGGCGCGCGGAGCGCGCCAATGGCGGCGCTGGAGGTGCCGACACGGGGGCTCTCATCCAAGAAACCCGCGCGGAGCGCCCAAAGCTTGTGTTTATGACATGGTTTTCCAAACCATCCTGTTGTGTTGGGTCCTCGTTTTGAAGAGACGGTCCCCGCGTTGCCCTCCTCTCCTCTCCTCTCCTCCTCCCCCTCTTCCATCCTCCCCCTCCTTGCCTACTTATGCCCTCCGCATGTTTCTGCTGCGGCACGCCCCTCACACGTTTCGTGGCCCCAAACAGAGCTTCGCCGAAGGCCCCCGTGTTGCCGTCCACATGCGTCCCCCACACCCATGTCGGAACAACCCCCACACGTTTCGTGGCCGCATAGGGAGCTCCACCGAAGGGCCCCAGTGCCACCGTCCACATGCGTCCCCCACATCAATTTCGGCAAACCCCTCACACGTTTCGTCGCCCTTTAGGGAGCTCCACCGAAGGCCCCAATGCCACCGTCCACAAGCGTCTCCCACATCAATTTTGGCAAACTCCGCATACGTTCCGTGACCCCATAGAAAGCTTCACAGAAAGCCCCAGTGCCACCGTCCACATGCGTCCCCCACACCCATGTCGGCACACCCCTCACACGTTTCGTGGCCGCATAGGGAGGTGCTACACCGAAGGCCCCAGTGCCACCGTCCACATGCGTCCCCCCGCATCCATTTCGGCACACCCCATCACACTTGTCGTGGCCCCATAGGGAGCTTCAACGAAGGCAACAGTACCACCGTCCACATGCGCCCCCCACACCCATGTCTCCACACCCCTCACACGTTTCGTGGCCCCATAGGGATCTCCACCGAAGGCCCCAAGTCCACCGTCCACATGCGTCCCCCGCACCCATGTCGGCACACCCCTCACACGTGTCGTGGCCCCATAGGGTCCTCCACCGAAATTCAAAGCGCCACCGTCCACTTGCGTCCCTCACGCCCATCTCGGCACACCCCTCATGAATTTCGTGACCCCATAGCGAGCTTCACCGAAGGCTCCAATGGCACCGCCCGCATACGTCCCCCACACCCATTTCGGCACCCCTATCACACGTTCCCATTTCGGCACACCCCTCACACGTTTCGTGGCCCCATAAAGAGCTCCACCGAAGGCTCCAGCGCCACCGTCCACATGAATCCCCCACACCGATGTCGGCGCACCCCTCACACGTTTCGCGGCCCCATAGGGAGCTCCACCGAAGGCCCCAGTGCCACCGTCAACAAGCGTCCCCCACACCCACGCCAGCACACCCCTCACACGTTTCGATGGCCCCATGGGGAGCTCCACCGAAGGCCCAAATGCCACCGTCCACAAACGTCTCCCATACCAATTTCGGCAAACTCCTCATACGTTCCGTGACCCCATGGAAAGCTTCACAGAAGGCCCCAGTGTCACCGTCCACATGCGTCCCCCACACCCATGTCGGCACACCCCTCACACGTTTCGTGGCCTCATAGGGAGCTCATACCGAAGGCCCCAGTGCCACCGTCCATATGTGTCTTCCACATCCATTTTGGCACACCCATGACACTTTTCGTGGCCCCATAGGGAGCTCCACCGAAGGCCCCAGTGCCACCGTCCACATGCGTCCCCCCGCATCCATTTCGGCACACCCCATCACACGTTTCGATGGCCCCATGGGGAGCTCCACCGAAGGCCCCAGTGCCACCGCCCACATGCCGCCCCCACACCCATGTCTCCACACCCCTCATACGTTTCGTGGCCCCATGGGGAGATTCAATAAAGGCAACAGTACCACCGTCCACTTGCGTCCCCCACACCCATGTCGGCACCCCTATCACACGTTTGGTGGCCCCACAGGGAGCTCTACCGAAGGCCCCAGTGCCACCGTCCACATGCGTCCCCCACACCCATTTCGGCACACCCCTGACAGGGGTCGGGGCCCCATAGTGAGCGCCACCGAAGAAGATGTTCGCCATGAAGCGACAGATGCTCTTCGTGGGGCAACCCGCAAGACGTCCAGATGCAAATCCTGTGCGACGGTCGGTTTTCGAGCTGGCCGGTACTGATCTCCGACCCCCATCAGGGCCACGCGGGAGAGGGCGCACAAGACAATCTTGGGGCAGCATGGATATGCGAAATTGTCTGTCCGTAGCTGGCTCCCAGGAGGCCTGGTCTGCAGTCTTTCGCCGCGACGGCAGAGCAGCGGCCTCATGGGAGTCGGCAGTCAAGAAATGGCACCAGCTGTAAACAGTGCTGCATTTCGGCACTAAATATCTCCTGTCTCACACTGCTCGCGCGCCGTCCGGCGCAAGGCTGACGTTCCTTCGTTCGGTACGCACATCTGCATATGGTTGGGTCCTTCGCCAAGCTAGATCTTCTTCGATGCTCGATATCCGTCGTGGTGGCACTCGCGTCTGCCGGCCCGTGCTCCATGGCCTTGCCCGCGGCGGCGCGCCGGGCGGACGGCCCCCCGCCGCCGACCTCGCCGCCCGCCGCGGGGGAGGCGGCCATCCTGCGGCTGGCTTCTTCGGAGGCTGCCAGAGGTGGCCCCCTGGCCCAAGGCGCCCCCCACCTCCTCCTCCTCCTCCTCCTCCTCCTCCTCCTCCTCCTCCTCCTCCTCCTCCTCCTCCTCCTCCCCTCCTCCTCCCCCCTCCTCCTCCGCCCACCTCCTCCCTCCTCCTCCTTTTCCTCCTCCCCCTCCTCCTCTTCCTCCTCCTCCTCCTGCGCCCTCTCCTCCGCCCTCCTCCTCCTCCTCCTCCTCCTCCTCCTCTCCTCCTCCTCCTCCTCGTCCTCCTCCTCCTCTTTCTCCTCCTCCTCCTCCTCCTCCTCCTCCTCCTTTTCCTCCTCCCCCTCCTCCTCTTCCTCCTCCTCCTCCTCCTCCTCCTGCGCCCTCCTCCTCCGCCTCCTCCTCCTCCTCCTCCTCCTCCTCCTCCTCCTCCTCCTCCTCCTCCCTCCTCATCCTCTTTCTCCTCCTCCTCCTCCTCCTCCTCCTCCTCCTCCTCCTCCTCCTTATCCTCCTCCCTCCCCCCCTCCTCCTCCTCCCCTGCCTCCCCCTCCTCCTCTTCCTCCTCCTCTTCCTCCTCCTCCTCCCTGGCCTCTCTGGGCCTCGATGAGGGGCCTCTGGAGGCCATCTGGGCCTCCCTGAGGGAACAAGCAAGGGCCACTCTGGGCCAGGGGCAGCATCGGGCAGCGGGGTGTACTTATGTGCGCTCTCGCCTGGCGAGAAGTGCCGAGCCTCTTCCAAAAGGCCGGGCAACTAATCAGCTTGCGACCGCTTGCTCCGCCCACGCGCGGGCTCCAGCGAGCGCAGCATCAGCATGGTCTTGTGCCGAAGACGATACGGATCCGGACCCGACGCCCGAGCCTGTCCTGGAGCGCGTGCCGACCAGGATCTCCATGCGAATCTGGCCGTGGCGCCGAAAAAGCCCGAGAGGCCCACCAAGTGCAGCGAACACATCCGTTTCCTCCATCACCAGCGACGACGACGCCTGCAATATCCAGACCTGTGGATGCCATGCTAATGGACACACTAACAATCGTATCATTGAATTAAAGCGTGTTTACAATGTCAGAAAACTATACGAAACGGTGTTTAACTTGTTTATACATGTTTAAGACATGTTTGAACCATGTTGTAGACATCTGGACATTCGTTGGCAACACGTTTCCTCTCCATTGGTCCTTGCCCACAAGTCCATACGGCATTTGGTGCCTCCTGCGCCCCAAGGACAACCATCTGCTCCAGAGGGCTGTTTGGAACAGTCGCCGCCAGATGCTCTGGCGGCGGCTGCCCCAAACGATCCCAAGACAAACCTACGAAACTTCTCGGAGCCATGTTAATGCCAACCGCGGCTTCCCTCGACGACAGGGTCCTGATTTTCAGAATGTTCTCGAAGGTACGCTACGTAGGCGTATTGGGGCCCTCGTTGGTCGTCTTAGTTTCGCCGTCTTGGGGCTCTCTCGGGCCATCCTGAAGCCTTTGTTTCGCCCGTGTTGGGACGGTATTCGAGTTCCTTGAAACGGTCTTAGACGCCCGATAAGCGCGCGCCTCGCGTCCGGTGAGGTCCTAGTCTAAGCAAGTTGTCCCATGTTCATCTTATTTCGTAGCCTCACTCGTGGCCCCAGTCGTAGCCCCCTTCGTATCCTTACTTGTTGCCCGCCTCCTCATCAGCCGAGTACTATCTGGACTATCCCTCGCTCGTCCTCCTCAATTGTTCCGTTATCCTCTCTTCTTCTTATCGGACACTGATCCCCTCACTGGAGATCATCGACTCATCCCTCTCGGACGCTACTCGGCCGCGCGCGCGTAAAAAAAATGGGAAGCAACGATGGGTAAGCGGAGGGGGAGGGGAGAGACAGCAGGGAACGGGCGCCCCCGCGCCCGCTTGAGTCACAAACCGAGGTCGGGCGCGCCCCCCTATATACAAGCGGATTTTGAACGACCCGCATTTTTTGGGGGGGAATGAAATATAGCACTTCCTTA